CCACTGATCGAGAGACCCCCGCCGCCCCGGAAAAGCAAAAGGGGTCCTCTTCGTTCTCTTCCTCCCGCCGTCAGCAGCCGCCGCCGCCGCCGCCGTCCCCGGCCTCCTCATCGCTGTCCGGCGTGAAGAGGACGAACGGCGGAAAGGAGGAGGAGGAGGAGTTAAGTTTTCGGAAGAAAAGGGGGTCTCGATCGTATTCGCTCGCGAAGGGTAACCGCGCGCTTTGATTTGGTGGATCTACGGATCTAGCGCTCTCGGGCGGCCGCCCACATGCCCTGTCTCTGTTCCTCTCTTTAGATCTCCGTCGTTTTCCCGTCCGGTGCGATTCGGCCGCAGAGCCTGAGCTGTGCTGTGAGTTGCTCCTTCCTTTCTAGTCTTCCCCCTCTTCGTTTTTCGGTTGGGTCTTGCGTCGTCGCGGTTTGAGCGATCGGGTGTTCTGGGTGCGGTCTTTTTCTGGTCTTTGTCCTAGCTGCTGGTTTTTTTCTGGGTGGTCTAGTTACTGAATTTTTCTGGTGGGCCGCCGAATTGCTGTGCTCGAGGATTGGAATGTGGACGGTTGGATTTGACCGATCCAGTTGCAGACGTGCTTCGGTTGTGTGTTTCGTTGTGTCTTATGATGTCAGTCTCTGTTTCATGGGGCTCTTGGTGGGTTCTCTCTGTTTGAGCTGCGGTAGTCATTGGCTTTGGGGGGTAGACCTAAAGCTGTCCTATATCTGTAGAAATGTTGATGGATAGTTGTGGATAGAGTAGACATACTTTGACACTAGACTACTATCAACAAAACTGCAGGATGAGTAATTCAGTGTTCTTGGTGTTTGATTTTGAGTCTGTGAAGCAATGGATGTGACTTGTACGTAATTATGCAGTTTGCAGGTAAGTGGAGGTTGTCAGTTTCTGGGTTGGAATTGGTGGTGCATCCGAATTGGATGTGGAGCCAGACTTGGAGGCTCACTTAGGTGAGATGAGGGATGTTATCGAGGTTGATAAATTTTCTGAGGGCTTGCTGGCGGCCGTCCTCGGACCGTTATGTGCACACGGGTTCGGATTTAGGGGGCCGGCAAGATGGACTTCTTTGGTACAAAGACACCGGGCAGCACTTGAATGGGGACTTCTCAATGGCGGTTGTTCAGGCCAATAATTTGCTCGAAGACCAGAGCCAGATTGAGTCTGGCTCCTTGAGTTTTCTTGACTCAGGTCCTTATGGCACCTTCATTGGAGTGTATGATGGCCACGGTGGACCTGAGACATCGCGTTTCATTAATGATCACCTTTTCCAGAATCTGAAGGGTAAGATAATAACCAATTTTTTTCTATTCAGTCTTAGAAGCGTCTTCCAACAAGGCTTAGTCTGTTCTGAATTATCTTGATTGTTATTTTCTTTCTCGAAGATCATTATGTCCTTTAGTGCTCAATTCAGACAACGTTCTTTGTCCATCATTAATCAGTTGCATTGTCTATGATTTGCAGCGTTTGCAACTGAGCAACAATCTATGTCGATGGATGTTATTAGAAAGGCTTACCAAGCAACTGAAGAGGGATTCTTCTCTCTTGTTACTAAACAATGGCCCATGAAACCCCAGATCGCTGCTGTTGGATCTTGCTGCCTGGTTGGTGTTATTTCTGGTGGGATGCTCTACATTGCCAACTTGGGCGATTCTCGGGCTGTTCTGGGTAGGGCTGTGAAGGCGACCGGCGAGGTCCTCGCCATCCAGCTTTCGTCGGAGCATAATGTGTGTATAGAGTCTGTTCGGCAGGAGATGCATTCTTTGCATCCAGACGACTCTCAAATTGTGGTATTAAAGCATAATGTATGGCGTGTAAAGGGCCTCATACAGGTAAGTCTATTGACTGCAAAGCGGTGAAAAATATTTTTCTTCATTTTTGCCTTTCCCATTTCTGGATTTTTTTATTTCCGGATAAGGTGCTGTATGGGGGTGCAAAGTCATTAGGTTAGTGCAGTTGGGATCCAGGGATGGTCAACAGGAAAGATGAGTTAGGGGTGAAAAGTCATCTAAGCTCTGTGGGATGAGAGCAATGGCTTCCGTTTTAAATGTTACATCTATAATGTCCAATTGGTGAGCTGCTTGACGTGACTGAAATTGAGTAAATAGTTAAAGTGGATAGTTGCCGATTCATGATGATGCATCTGAATATATTCACCTTCAATGACTGTAACTTTTTATTTCTTTGCCATACTTCAATAACTGTAATTAGCTTTCTCACTTATTGTGAAGATTGGCGTGAATTGAAATTTTCGTTTGTGTCACGCTCCTCGCTTTGGAGGGGACATAAAATCACAAAGCCACAAATGGAGCTGTTAAAGAGAGAGACTCTAAAATATCTGTCAAAGCGTTCACATCCCAAGTACTACCTTTAAAATGGAAACCGGGAAAATGCTGTATTGGTGGCATCAGGAGCATGAAACATGAATGATAATTGTTTTATCTGTAGTCTGTTGTAAACTCTAGAGTTGTTCGTGGAGGTTCGTCATTTTGGTTTTTTCCCTAATCTCCTAGTTAACGCCAAGTGAAAGAAAAGATGTGGACAAGCTCTTGATTTAAGATTGCACTTGGTCGTAGTTTTAGGAAGATATCTTACCAGAAGGAATTCATGTGATGGGTAACCTAGGTGGTATAGTAACGGGACATTCTAAGCAAGATCTTTGCCTTGAATCTCTTTCAATTCTGTCATCTTTCTACTTGAATCGTGAAATAAAAATTGATTTGTTTTTCTTTCAAGATGATTTGCTTAAGCAGTAAGTGTTCCACTGCACCAAAGTTCACTGTCAAAAATTAATTTGTTCCGGTCACTTTTTTCTTTTTTCTTGAAAGATGTAGTCTTGCTTTTAGGTTGACAAACCGTTTTCTGCAGGTTTCTAGATCCATTGGTGATGTGTATCTGAAGAAGGCCGAGTTCAACAGGGAGCCTTTATATTCCAAGTTTCGCCTCCGTGAACCTTTTAGAAGGCCAATTTTAAGTTCTGATCCATCTATATCAGTGCATGATCTCCAACCTCATGATCAGTTTGTGATATTTGCTTCTGATGGACTGTGGGAGCACCTTAGCAACCAAGAAGCAGTTGATATAGTTCAAAATCATCCCCGTAATGTAAGATTTTCTTGCAGAGACTTTTCTCTTTTTAAGTGAGATCCCCAGTCCTGATCATTCCCTATATTTCTCTTTCATTTTCAGTAACTAGTAAGAGTTTCATACCCTTTGCTCGAGACGATGTCATAAGATTTCCCTTTTGTTGCTATTTGACAAAATCGTTTGTCTGTTTCTTTTTTAGACGTTTTTTTAGTATGTATGAATTTTCACATCAATATTCTTGAATTTTGCTGATTTCTAGTCTTATGCATCAATATATCATGTGAGCGCTCTGCCTGTGAGCTTTTTATGTTTCTTTTTCTATTTCTGTGGGAATTGTTGAAGCTTCAGTTTTCATAGTACATGCTATCTTTGGTGTTGATAATTTCCATGCCCATGCTTCTCGATGTTTTGACTTTGAGACTGATAGGTCTGGTGTGATCGTGGGTGGAGAAAACCTATTTGATGTCTTGGAGAATATCCACTATTTTGGAGACCTGAATGTTGCATGATTTAATCCGTAGGACTTGCTTTAGCATTTAAATGCTATAGATCTGATGTGACAGTTATCCACTTGCTTCCATCCAGGGAATTGCTCGGAGGCTTGTGAAAGTTGCCCTGCAGGAAGCAGCGAAGAAAAGAGAAATGAGGTACTCCGACTTGAAGCAAATTGACCGTGGGGTCCGCCGACATTTCCACGATGACATCACAGTCATTATCGTATTTCTTGACTCGAATTTGGTCAGCAGAGCAAGCTCAACCAAAGGGCCCACCGTGTCCTTGAGAGGGGGAGGTATTAACCTACCTGCAAAAACTCTGGCCCCCTGTGCAACACCAGTGGAAGTTTAGTGCTGCCTAATGAAGCTGCTAAACCGGTGCTACTAGGATTTACTGTAACAATCAGCTTGTTAAATCTGAGAGATTGAGAAGGTGCGGCTCATTATTAATTCTTTAATGTAGAATGTAACATTTTACCCGGGACTTGTATTTTATGTTAGCTCACTTGATCACGACGATGGGAAGAATCAGGGGGGGAAAGCTTCAAAAGTGACAGTAAAGATTCTTGTGGGAAACTCTTTTTACTTGTATCTGTTTTCCCCTTTAGTGATCTAATTTTTGCATTCTGTATATCACATTAAGGTTGCCCTTAATCCAAGTTCTTTTGGAGTAGTTTACAGTAAAGAGCGGCATAAAGATCGGTATAGAACTTTGATCGTGAAATGAAGTTATGCTTGTCAGGGTGCAAAAGAAAAGGCATCTCTAACTATTACTTTTGTTGTGAATCTTCTGTTGAGTAGTTGGTGAACTCTACAGTGCAGATGCTAAGAGTTCTGTTGGGATGTAAAGCATGAGTTCTGCTGATGCTTCAATGCTTTCCTGGGAAATTTTTGTTGTGTGAACAAGGTATATGTATTTATACTAAAATAGTCATCGAATGGCATTACTCCCGCGAGCGGGATTGATCACAGTCAGATCGTTATGTTCATCCGGTCACGGTGGATTGTTTCAACGCACGAAAATCTCACTTACATGACCTCTGATGCAACTGCTTGCCTTTTTGGCATACCTAATTTCCAGCTTACTCATTGTCCTGGTCCTAGCACTTTCGAAGTTGGTGATATATAAGGGTGGATATGAGGAGTCCAGTTCGGCCACATTACCTTGAAGCTGATGGCTACGTAGACCCGTGAACAACGATTACCTTGGTGAGGCAATTACCGTTCTGCTTGTCTAATTAATGTTGTTTGAGTGACGGTGGAAAGTCTGAAAGGGGTGTTGAATAATGAACGAATTTCCAATGCCACATCTATTTCACACTTTGGTGCCACCTACATTAGATCTGTTACTCAAGAAAAAATCTGGCAACTTCGAATTTGGGAGGCTATAGGTCCTCAAGATTGCACAACCATTAACTACTTTTCCTCTTCTATTCCTCTTAAGCTGCTTTTGTCGAAGTCGATGCTGAGGTTGTCGACATCCAAACACCTCAAGCTCGTGGACTGGAACGAGACACTGTCCATTTCGACATGGAATCTCTGATACCCGACTCCATCGATGCTGAAGCTCTGAGAAGTCTCGCGGTCCATTGATCTGCGAGGTCCACCGCTGGCTGTCGATTTAAGAGAGTTGCCATCGGCCAAGTGAAGTGCTTCTTCTAGTTCTTGCCACACTTGAGTCATCGTAGGGCGCTGTTTCGGCGATTTCACCACGCACTTCAGAGCAAGCTGACCCATCTTCAGCATCACCTTCATGTTGCATGGTTGTGAGAGGAGATTGGCATCCAATATTCCTGTCACGTCTTCTCTTTCTAAGCTTGGTCTAGCCTGCACTCAAATGACGACATGGTATTAATTCCCCTTAATTTTCCTTCTGCATTAGGCAAAGTGCAAAATATGCCTGTACATTCCAGAATTGCTGGTTTTGAGATCTTAGTAACATGTCGATTACGATGTGGACAACGGCTAAAATCTTCAATCACCTACTCTCATACAACCTAAGTGACAATGTATTCAGTTAGCTAGCCTGAATCGCACCTAATGAATCTCCAAGAATCGCTTCAATCCATGTCGAAGATGTCCTACCGATCGGTCAGCATATTCAGGAGCGAGACTTGCACACATCCAATAGACTAATTGAATCACGATGGAAGCACGATATCTGAATGGCCGATCTAGCTACACAGATGTGCATAGAGACTTTCTGGCTTGGGATGCTGAGCAACTTACTTAGTTGACTCGTGACTCTCTTGTTTACCTTGGTTATTTAAGGTCCGAAATGTCGATTCTTATGTGCAAAAACTGTAAATCTTGCTCGACTTGTAGGTGACCAACACACACTCTATGCGAGCAACCTCATTCGTGCGTACCGAATGTTAGGCTCGCTGAATAGGAGACCTTAATGTCATACATATTGTGACAATAGAATATGAAGAGACTAATTTTCTTACCCATTCTATAATATGATACTTAGAGTTGTTCCTTCCGGTATCAACGGCAGGCCGGGCAGCGACCAGTTGCAGAAGTATCACACCGAAACTGTAGACGTCGCTAAACGGAGTCAAATGAAAGCTGGAACAATATGCAGGGTCAAGGTATCCCGGCGTCCCCTTGATCTGACTGCTGACATGCGACTGATCCTCGACCGGCCCTGACTTGACAAGCCCGAAATCCGAAACCTTGGCTTGAAACCCTTCTCCTATGAGAATGTTGCTCGGTTTCAGATCGCGGTGGATGATGCTCGGCTTGACCTCTTCATGCAAATGAGCAATGCCTGAGAAATTGGAGCATATCAGTAATAGAACCTTTATTTCATCACATGCCTTAGTTTATCCAAGTGAAAAATGAGTGAGCAGAAGCTACCTTTAGCTGCTCCAATGGCTAGGTTAACCCTCTGCCTCCATGTCAAGACCCTCCCTCTTCTCCCTATATATGGCCAAAGGAGGAAGGAGAAGATTCTCAGTTTTCTCGTTTTCATTTATTATACATTCGAAGTTATAGAGGAAGAAAAGAATGTTAGAACATCAGTTCAAACTTACCCATGATGTACTCAAGCAATGAACCGTTGGGCACATACTCATAAACCAGTATCTTAGCACCTGTTGCTCCTGTACAATCACGTATTCAATTAGATTTTCCTCTTCTGAGGCTTATGCCTGTTGAAACATCAAAATTCAAATTCGATAATCTTTTTCATGTACCAATTCTCTTTCGTCTTTACTTTTGTTGAAAGTCCAACCCAAAAAGTTTGACCACATGTATATAAAAAGCATATATAAATTCATTGTTAAGCGATATGGGCTACTTCAATTTTTTTTAAATTCGAAAATATCAAATTTTGATGTATTACACCAATAAAAATATAGTGCAGTTCTCTAGATAAGGAGTCAAAAAAGAGGAAGATTTGACGCTATGTTCTTACCTGGTTCTTCACAAAAGCCCACCAAGCTGACAAGGTTCCTGTGCTTCACTTTAGAAAGTAGTCTCACTTCTGTTCAAGAAAACACTGCAGAATAATCAGCCACCTGAAGATATCATCCTCAAAATGGACCTCATGAACAAAACAAATATAACTCTTCTATATATACGTGGCACAATACGTCTAGAGCCTAAATTACCATTACCATTCCTAAATTCTTCGACACTCTGGTGGGAGTCGGCATGAGGTTTCTTGATGGCTAGTGTTCCTTCGTCATGGAACGTCCCCCTATAGACATTGCCGAAAGCTCCGGATCCGACCAAGCACTCCTCGCTGAAGTTGTTGGTCGCCCTCACGAGCTCCTCAGGCTGGAACCTTCTCAGCAATATTTTATCGTCTTCCAAATTACTTCCAGCTGCAATATATTGTCATTCAAAGCTCAAACCTCTTTATTTACAGGAGGATATTAGGAACAAGAATGAAGTACCCTGAAGCGCCATGATTTCTCGTATTGATGAACTTTCGGGAGTTTCAGCTTTACGAACCACGAATCGGCTCTCGTCATTTGATTTGTAAAGATCGATGTCCCATTAACTAAGTAATGGGAGAAGTTGTGGATGAATGACAATATGATATAGTTCATGCTGAGGTTTCAATGCTACGGACTAATCTTCTTGCTTTAGGATTCATGTTGTCTCCTCTCAGTGTCACAACACAATGAGCACTTCAAAATGTTTTCCTGTTTACCTTTTCTAGCTCGAAATATGAATGTGGTGGGAATAGACTTACAAATGAACATTGTAAGATAAATATGCATGCATGTTTTGACTTGACTTGTGTTGGAGCAAAACAGTACACGACACAGACACGACACGCTTTAAGCCTTCAAGTATCATGCTTAGAAGTGTCACTGAATCAGAGTTCCAATTCATTTTTCACTGCCCTTCATTATCATTGTTCATTAGTTCTGTTACTCTGTCGTCACTGTTTTCCTTCTTGGGAATGTTTCCGACTCGCGACACGGGAATCACTGACCTTTGCTCGTTATCCGGCGATGGCGGTGCCGCTTGATGGCGGGGAGCAGCTTCCTCCTGAAGAAGAAATAAAAGGTGACGCCTGTCAACAGAACGGACATGGCTATGACCGTCGCTCCCAACACACTCGTCCGACTGCTCGTCCCGGACTTGTCCTGAGCCCGCATCGGGGCCGATGCAGGACCTGGCGATCCGCCCATCGGTTCCCAGCCACACAACCGGTTTCGCTCTTCCTTCGGATTCTAATTATACTTCTCGAAACCGAAACCAGGAGCTCGTAATTTGGTTCGAGGGCAGGATTTTAAATGGATTGCCGGCAGAGCGAGACAACAACATAGTCAAATCGAGAGAGTCTGTGTGTGTGGAATCGTTGTCAACAGTCTTTGCTGTCTCGTTATTCCATCTTGTCATGCAAGACCTGGTCTGTGTCTTCGGACGGCAAACAGGCCAAGCAACCCATCCTAATCAGGAACCACTTTGCACGTCCGGGCGAGACGTTGTCCCACGTCTCGATAAGGATCCGCAATGCTCAAACGTACGTAGACTTCAACAGCAATCTATAATATCATACGTTGACCAGGTATGCATGTCCGGACAATTATTCTTATGATTTTTCAAATGAATATACAATTTCGTGTGTCGTTTGCTTCATCAACAAGCTCCTGGGACGTCTCCATTGATAAAAAAGAAAAGGGTAGAGAAAAGAATCGATTTGGGGAGTAGCCATCTGCAACTTCATTTCTAGGATCTGGTTGGGTTCACACACGTTCTGTCGTGTTCTTGCATGTTTCAATGTGGATTGTCTTTGCTCGGAAGATTCTCCGAAATATAAGGGGGATAAGATATGTAGGAATTAGTTTTGTATCATGAAATTTTGCAGCCGAAGGAACAAAAGAGACGGTTATAATAAGACGGCTTGGTCCCAACAAAAGCTAACCAATAATTTCAAATAAAATAAAATTTGGTTGTGTCAAATGATATAGAATTTGATTTCAATGTTGTTTGGATGATACATAATGCTAATTAAGACACTAATGAGGAAACAAGGGAAATCGATTCCGTTTAATTCGCTGAGTTATGATAAAGTACTTTCGGGTGACTAACCAAATCACGAAATCGTTCCCGGCTATTGGAAAGCAGTGTCCGAACCAAAATAAGGGATTCATGAGGAATGATCTTCTGAAACTAAGGGATATTTGAATACAAAACGGCCTTCGTAGCACGGTATCAAAGCCGGGTTTCTGCCCCGATTTAATTCACATGTGGGCACCGCTCGTGAAACTTACCGTTCTCAATCCGGCTCGCATGTGAGAGAGGTATCAAAGTATTTCCCATCACTTCTCTACACGGCTCTTTATATGTGTGTGGTATCATCCACCTATTAAGTTAAGCTTTTAAAATAGTCGGCGGTGGCTTTACACATAATTTCACATAGTACGAGAGCAGGCCGTCCCGAGTTCAGTATATATTTCGACACTTAATTTTAAGCCAAAGCCCGACCTACGAGTGAGGATGAGTGTTAGATTAATTAAATAAACTTTCAGAACCGGGTACTTCTTGGAAGTTTCCATAATTATTCTTTTTTCCCAAGGGAAATACGGGCCGGATTGAATTTTCGAAAAGGAAAAAGATAATTGCCACAGGCAGAAAGTGAGAAGGGGGCCATGAGAAAATTTGATGATAGTGAGAGAAATCACATGGCTCATGCTTCTTCCTCCTTTTGCGGGATGAACCCTTTACTCCTTCCATCAAAGACGAACAGGTCTGGGCAAGTTGAGCAACTGGAGATCCATTCAGATGTCAAAATCTCTATGGCTCCCCTGAATCTCTTGGCTTTTGTGATTTTCTCTGGGAATTTCAGATAATTTATAAAAGGGCAAAAAGAAAGGTGAAAGTGATTTTTTTTTCTATTTGGAGTTTTCAATGAACTCCCTAATCTTCCTGGAGTAGCTGGACATGCAATCTTATAGCACAGCAAATTCAATGCAGTTTCTGACATTGGAGAAAATGTGGGTCTTGCATTTAGACATTCTGCCTCTTGCTGCAGCAAAGCCTGACAAGAGGAGGAGTTCTGCCCATACCAAAGTGCAGATTCTGGGGTCCGAGAGTAGTGACGGATGAGAATATTTATTGAGAGAGATAGATTGGCACGCCCGTAGTAATTATCACTGACATGTCGGGGGCAGAGCGAGCCCCCCCATTTTACCCCCGAGTTCTGGCATCAATTGCATTCCATACCCACGCCACAAGTTTAGTCTGGTTCTGTCCCCAGAACCACATTCGAACTTGGGTTGTCACTAACTCCTGAGGTTCATCCACCGCGCATCGGTTTGGTCCAAACCTGTGATGCAGCTTGCGGTTTGGAGAAAATCGGGTATGCATCTACGCCGTTCTTTTGCTGTCTCCCCGTGATTAAGAACTGTTTGTCCGAGTGAACGCTCGGATTTCCTTTCGTCGTATCGGCAAAAGGGAGGACCGACGACGCTTCAAACAGGGTCAGGGCGTTTTCTTTTCCATTTGAAGCTGTGTCCTCTGCTTCTGGCAGTCGTTGATTCAAGATGGCAATGCATCTGGTGCAAATGAAGTGCGTACCGTGGCAATTACACTGGCAAATGCCGGTCCAAAACACTTACACAAGTGATTAAACATATTTTCAAGGGAAGAGATCCCGTAGAGCTTTAGCCGAGAATAGACTGATTTGTGCACCAACTCTGCATCATTGGTCTCTGTTAGCGAACTCTGCGTAAGATGGCAGTTAAGTAATGATCCATTGCCAAACCCCATAACCACCAAACTTCCTACTTCCCACCTATCCAATCTTCTCCTACTCCTTGTCTCTCTTCTTTATGGTTTTAAATTAAGATGTTTTTCCCTTTCTCTTGCCAGACCCTTGGGGTATATCTCCACGCTCTGAATGAATTGCAGAGAGCTTGCACATGCGTATTTACCACAGGTTCCATATAGAAACCGGTTTGGTACCCAACAAAAAATAAGTAGGATCCAGTAAATTCCGCCGGTCAGGGTATGGGGGGTCATGCAATGTGTGAACCCACAAGTGGCCCGAAACACCCATTATTGTACAGCTCATAGTCAAGATTTCAAGACTCCACTGCATGATATCCCAGACCACATTGCATGATCTGCATCAGAGACTCTGAAAGACCCCGGAAAAATGAAAAGAAGAACGGTTCAATCGCCTTGGCTCTTTCAATTTCGTAAGCGATAATTATTGAACGAAAGATTGATGGACCGAGTTTAGTTGAGGAAAGATAAAAGAAGATGCGATGTAGAGAGAGAAATGGCTAACTCTTTCATCACTCAAAACTTTTGTACATACACTGATCCATCTCAGGGAACAGGGGCTTTACTAAGAACTACAGAAAGAAAATGTATCAAAGTCTACAGCAAATCCTGTATAAGAGAAGAGCCTCCCGAAAAGCGACCGCCTCTGTAAATATTAAAAGAAGAAACTTTTTTTTTTCCCCACTGCGATCCGTTTTATAAGAGGATTACAGATCCCTTCTGCACAACGGGCAAGATGCGTGCCGCAAGAGCCACTTATCAATGCACGGGAGATGGAACATGTGATTGCAGTGAGGCAAGCTCCGCACCGTCTCTCCGAGCTGAAAGTCCTGAATGCACAAAACGGAACGTGTTTCGACTTAGTTTCCTACCGATACCAGGGATTGATCACGGATCGATGACTCTCGTGGAAGGCGAGTTAAGGGGACAAAGGAAGCGACAATCATACCTGAAGACACACTGAACAAGAGACTCTTTCTCCAGAAGCATCCATGTCATTGCTGGTGATGGTTATTTTGGGGATCTTTTCGACTGAATCTCCAGGCAAGCCCTTAGTGCTGCTCGTGTCAAAGATGTTGTGAACCTCCTCAAAGCTTGGCTCAACAGCGCCCATCTAATAAAAAGCGTCGACGTCGTAAGCAACCAACTGATCACGAGCAATGCCGATCATAATACATTTAGGGGGGCATCGCGTTGAGTTCTAATCAAAGGGACGGTACCTGACTTTGCACTGCACTCAGCATCGCCGGCCCGATCCGTTCGCGAACAAGCCTCCCGCTTAAGAGGCTGACGATGACATCAATCTGCAATTTTGGGGAGGAAATGGTCAATTGGGAGAACGGTCGATTAGCATTACACTTCTTGGCTAGAGAGATTAGGATCAGATCCACAACGAAACCACGATCTGCAAGCGATCGGATATCTGCGAAATCCCATACATCTGCTCTGCTAGAAACAGATGTGACAAAAACATTCCGGCCCCCATTGATCAATCAAAGGCGGCAGTTGAAAGTTTTGAATCGTGCGCTAACTCACCAAGTAAAGGAGACACCCGATCCCCGATTCATCCGAACGCCAGAGAACGAGGGACGACTCGAAGACTTCGATCGAGAAGACCGCCCCTGAAATCGCTCCGACGGCAGCCCCCCGGACGAACCCGCTCTCGGTCTCTTGGCCTATCAGAGCCCCAGTCATGGCTCCCAACAGAGTACCAACTGCAGAACCAAAAAGACACCCAAAATCAAACACTTTATGCGCACCAAGAACGAAGAACAGAGTATTCTTCTCAACAACAGAGTCCCCAAAATCTCATCTTGCGAAGAGATCACGCCGTTCCGGCATTTGCCCCGAGCAGTTCTTAGAAGTTAGAACATCGAGCGATCGAGATCACGAGCAAAAAATCCGCAGAACCCTAACACGTCGTCCCGTGTCGTTCCCCAAGAAATCCCCATCTCCGCGCACCGACGCGGAATCAGAAGCGGCATTGGGGATCCAGGCGGCATCCCCCCCGCCGGAAAACCCCACCAAGCGCGCGCGAAATCACGGGCAAGAAAAAAGGGGGTAGAAACAGAAAAGAGGGGGGGGGGGGGGGAACGAACCCAGAGCGAAGAAGAAGGTGAAGATGGCGGAGAAGACGTTGCCGACGGCGGCGGACACGGCGGCGCCGCACATTCGCCGGACCCGCTCGAGGGAGTCGCCGATGGCGGACGCGAGAGGGGCGCGGAGCCCGGAAGGACACGCGTAGAAATCCATCGAAAGCCCCCCACCACCACCACCACCACCACCACCACCCCCACCACCCCTCCGCCACCAACTTGTCACTGCTGCTACCGTCCTTTCTCGGAGAGAGAGAGAGAGAGAATCCTGGATTGAAGAAGTACGGGATTATGGGAAGACCCAGAGACGGACCACTTGTGTGTGTATATATATAGAGAGAGAGAAGGCTAGCCTAACATGATGATGCTTAGCTCTCAAGAGAAAACGAAAAGCGACCGCATCGACCTACTCGCATTTAAGGCCCAAACCCCGCCATACCCTTTCCCCTCCTTTTCCCTCCTCCTCCTTCCTTCCCCGTTCGTTTTGCTCAATGCAATTCCTCCCTCTCCCTCTCCCTCTCCCCCTCTCTCTCTCTCTCTCTCTCTCTACATGGTTTCTTGGAAGGGCGGTCTTGTCCTCGTTTTCGTCTTCGTCTTCACCTTCGTTTTCGGGCTGTTCAAATTCGTGTAGCGCTCGCCGTCAAAGGCACGGGGACGGAAGATTGAAGGAGGAGAAGCTTCCGTTTGACGGCATCCGACGTGGCGTTCCGACCAACTCTCTCTCTCTCTCTCTCTCCCCTTTCTCTCTAGGCTAGGCAGTAGGGGTTGCCATGAGAAATATCTTCCTGCGGAGCTGGCTCGGTGAGAGGGGGGCCCCCCCCCCCCCCCCCCCCACTAGCTCGGACCAACGAGAGGCGAAGCATTAGCGATGAGAAATTTCATAAGAAGAACAGATAAAATAAATAACGGGTTGATACTACGAAAAGCCTCAAAGTTATTATATTTACGATAAATTTATCTCAAACTAAAATATTACACTTGCGACGGATTTACCTCATGCCGAACTTTTTAACCACGAAAATCCCACAACGGTATATTTGCGAAAAATTTACCGTCCATTAGTTTTTTTTTAAATTGGATTAATATCGCGAAAAATCACAAATCGGTACACTAGTGACAAATGGAGGGTGAAACCCTAAATTGGTACACCCGTCAACTGTCACATGTCATCTAGCTCGGTAATTTGACGGTAAAATTTAACGGAAGCTGACGGAGGGTAAATTTATAACGGGTGTACCAGTTTTGGGATTTTTTGTGGTAAAAAAAAAATAATTTTGGATGAATTTATTACAGACATGCCAAGTTTGGGTTTTTTCGGTATTGATCCAAATAAATAATAATTAAATACGAAAAAAAAGGAAACGGGAAAAGGGAAAGATTAGAATTTTTGTTTGGGCGGGCTCGGACAGCCGAATTTATGCCTTGTTGCGGTTGGACCAAATGTTTTGTGAAAACTGGCTGCAATAATTCGGTTGATATCGTCGAGCTTTGATGTCCGAACCAATTTATTGCTATTTCCGGCCTCGGGTCAGGTGAGGAGTAGTAGATGAAGATAAAAAGAAAAAAAAAAGGAAAAAGGAAAAAAAAGAAGAAGAAGAAGGAAATTTCGCTCTTGAGATTCCCCAGTACCCAGAAAAATTAATTCTCAGAATTAGGAAAAAAAAAGTACACTGATAAAAAACCGGTCGCATTAATTTGAGCTGATAAGGGGACGAGGTGACGGGGGGATTCGGAACTTTCGACGCGATAGGTGCGGTACGATCGAAAGGCCGAAATTATTGAATTTTCTTTGAACCGTCCCACGAGCTTTGTCACAAACTCGGTAGGAAAATCACCAATCAATCACGATGTCGTGACGGCTCAATTGTCATGTCCAACATATTGTTTGAGAAAAGTCTGTTCGTATACACTAGATTGTGATATATGAAGTACTTTTCGCTTTCCCTTCGAAAAAATGCACGTGGGAATTTTCGTGTGAACATTTACGAGTGTGTTTCAGGTAAGTCAGAGTACATTTAGTGAGCAAGGTAAAAGTCGATCTAGACGCACCCCCGGTATTTTGTTAGATAATACTTTCACTTGTATCTGCGCAAGACAGTAAAGTGAGGGGTTTCTCGAAATTGATCTGAAAATTGGCATGTTAATACCTAGTAATGCAATTTGCATGACCATCTCTTTTCCTCTTGATTGGTACAATATGAAAATTTTATTATACGGTGGCTTTGTTGCCTCGATATTCGATCTATTTATTTGGAAATCCCACATTTTTCATATGTAATTTTCGCGCGCGCATATATATATATATATCGGCTATTGAATCATGTTGGAATATCTGCATTATCTTTTAGTCCGGAATTTTGGAATATAAATGGCCTTAGAAAACAAATAAAAATTAAAATGAGCAGGGGGTCAGTGGGGGCACCGTCAACTAAATGAAAATTAGGAGAAAAAAATTAGGTTGAACACGTATTTGGTAATGTGCATGTTGCGCCCAAGCAAGGCTACAGAAAAGGGCACTTGTCCTTGGTGTATTCATCCTTTCGTCTCGGACTCTCGCTTATTACTTAGCAACAACCCAGAATTGAATTTGAAGTGAATCAGCAGATCTAGTAATGTTGTTGCTCATAAGCTTGCAAAATGGGCTTTTTATCATTTAGGAACTGCATCATCTTTCTTTTTTAATGATCTCCCATCTAGAGTAAAAAACTTAGGTTGCGTTTGGTCGACTAGATAAAAGTCAGGATATGATATGTTTTATCCTATCCTGTGTTTGGTGGTGGTCCAGGATAGGATAAGGTCGGATATAGACCGGATAAAAAAATCGGGGGTGGGATAGACCTGGATAGTGATTTCTAATGCCTATTTTTCCGTAAACCCTACGCTCCACTCGCCGTCATCTTCATCCCCACACCTTGTGCGCTTTCACCAAAAAAAATTTTCGGCTTTTTTTCCTTCACCGACTCATCCGGACCCGTGAATAGCAAAAAAAAAAAAATTATACTATCCAACTTTAAATCCGTAGTCCACCAAACAGTGGATAGGATATGAAGAAATCCCAGGATTTCTTATCCTATCCTGTTTAGAAATCCGGACAACCAAACTTAGTGTTAGCGGAGTCTTCTTTAATTTATCATGTTGATGTAGGCTCTAGTTTTTCTGTGTAAAATTTGAACTTCTCTTATGCAATGGAAGGTATGTTTTAGCAACAAAAAAAAAAAAAAGGCTACGAATTCATAATTCAACAATATTATTTAGTGCCATAATCCATGCAAAAACACATTTATTAATTCATTAATTATAAGTTCACGGTGATTGGAAAGTTCGAGCATCCTATCACTTCATACGAGTCGCACCTTGCCTTTAATGATAATAAACATAATAAGAGAAAATTGATGAAACCCGCCTTTACTTAGTTTTGCATCTTACAAAACCTAAACAAGAAAAAATATGAAATTGCCCTTCTTTTCAAAGGTTCCACGCAAACGTTTGTTAACTCTTTGATCACACAAAAATCCTAAGACCCAAAATAGGTACTGCCGATAATCGTAATAACTCCCTTCATTCTCTCTCCCTCCCTCTCTCTTTCTCTCAACATGCGCGAGCGTCACAGACACACAGTACTTTGCACTTAAAGCTCGACTTTTGGTCTGTTGTGCTCAAGCATGCACAGTGGAAAGCGATCGAGGTCATGGCCTTAGGCATCCTCTGATATGAGGCCGTGCGGAGGATGGAGGGACGGAACTGAGGAATCAAACTATTTCACAGGGCATGAATGTTTTGAAACACAGTGGAAATCCTGTATACAAAGCAAATATAAATTGATGTGAAATTGCGATCTTGGTGTTTTTGATAATGAAACTTAAGACGCAGACTCGCGATTTTAAAAGAAAAAGAGAGAAAGTGGTATCGAAATATAAATGGGGACGGTTTTCTGAATCTCCGTATTGCTAATAATAACAACGGCAACGACGATGACGATGGTTACCTATTGAGGGCCATCAATAAATGTAAGGAGCGAATTTCTTGCAACTTTGGTTTTTTCTCTTTTGAATTGTTCTCTTTTTCCTTTCCCCATTTTTTTGAGAATTAGAAAGATCCCGATTGAGCCATTGTAACAAACCGGTAGATTTAGTGTCGTACATCATTTAAATACGAGATTTCTATGGCTCTAATGTATAGTCTCAATCTGCCTAATATATGATTTCTATTTTTTTTATGGGACTTTAATGTCATATCAGAGTCAACTTTCACATCTTTCGTGATGTTGATTCATTTATATTGTTTCGGTCCAATTTGCACGTAAGAAGAGGTGTTAAGTGTCATTTCACGTTCCGTTCAATACAAGATTTCGACTTGGGTAGTGAATTTTCTTCCACCTAATGGCTATTTTATAAAACCATCGAAATCAGTGTTTTATACTATAATTTTCCTGTCATAAGAGGTAATGTCTTCTATGACCAAATCAAAGAGCAAGGGCTGGCCGAGTATATAACATTAATTGCAACATGGAATACACAGTGTTTCTTGAATATTGAGACAAGATGTGATGATGACCTAAGTATGTCTTCTCTCCAAAGGTCTAGAAGCAATGACAGATCTCTTGCTATATTAATCAAAGGATTTGCTTTGATCTCCAGTCGAATCGTCCCGTTCTTTCTGGCTAGTTCTCGGCCTATCGGAAACTCTAAATTATGAGGAAAATTTATCCAAAAAATTATAAATTTATTACACTTTTGCCAATTTAGTCCAAACTTTTCAATTTTACCAATTGAATCATAAACCTTTTCACATTTTATTGATTGAGTATATCCGGCCAATTTTAACGGGAAATCGCTGATATGATGTACGTAGTGCCGCGTAGGACGGCTGGCCGGCGTTAACAATGATAACTTTTTTATTTTTTCTTTCTTTCTTTTCCTTTTTTTACTATGAAGTCCGGCGAGAGTTGCCGGTCACAGGCACGGCCAAACTTGGAAGAATAAAAATAAAAAGAAAGAAAGAAAAGAATTAAAAAATTTGAAAAATATTAAAATTATTAAAAATTATTCACATCAGCGCCGGCCGTCCCTATCCACATCAACGATTTCCGACTAAAATTGATTGGATCGACTCAATTGACAAAACATAATATTGTTTATGATTCAATTGGCAAAATCGAAAGGTTTGTGCTTGAATTGGTAAAAG